ATTCCAGCCTAGCGGAAAGAATGAGACTCCATCTCAAAAAAAAAAAAAGAAAAAAAAAGAGAAGAAAGTATAACAAATTGAGGAAGAAGAAAAATAATAAAAACCAACCTTTATCAAGTAGCCAGGTATTGGTTTAAGTTCTTATGTTGTGTTGTCTCATTTAATTCTCACAACTCTATGAAATTTTTCTCTCATTTTAACGATGAGGAAAATTAAACCAAGAGAGATTAAGTATCTTGCCCTTAAGCACACAGCTGTGAAGTGTGGAGACGCTAGAGGCAAGCTCTACTCTTCCTCTGTAGTGTTAAGAAGACAGGATTGAAGGAATGAAGACAAAGATGAGATGGGAAGCTAAATTACGCATCTTACTTTATATAGGTTTCTATTAATTTTGTTTCTTTTTTCAAAGTAAACACTGTTTTATAAATAATATAAAACTGAACCCAAAATACATAATTGGGCATTGGAGTTAATCCCTAATGTTCTAAGTAAGACTTCACTTGCACCTCAAAACCACATGTTATGCACACTGGGAAAATAGAGATAAAATGATGGCCCTGGGAAGAGGAGGAAAGATAAGAGGGGGCAGATTGTTCTTTTTATCAGGGGCTTCTAAATCTCACCTCAATTCTCAACTAAGGCTTTGTTGACACTGGATGAAAATTAAAAAGAAAATTTATATTGAATTGTTTGCCTGCTGATACTAGTTTGGATAAATGTTCCTTCCCAAATCTCATTTTCAAATGCAATCCCCAGTGTTGGAGGTGGGGCCTCCTGAGAGGTGTTTGGCTCATGGAGACAGATTACCCATGAATAGCTTGGGCCATCCCCATGGTGATAAGTAAGCTCTTGCGCTGAGCTCACATGGGATCTGGCTGTTAATGAAAACGTGGTGGCCAAAGTGGATAAGGGGAAGTCCACAATCAAGCTCCAAATGAAGAACATGTTATGTCTGGCTGTGGCTGTTGGCCACATGAAGATGACAGACAATGAGTTTGTGTATAACATTCACCTGGCTGTCATCTTCTTGGTGTCATTGGTCAAGAAAAACTGACAGAATGTCCAGGCCTTATATATCAAGAGCACAATGGGCAAGCCTCAGCGCCTATATTAAGGGATATTTGAATAAATTCTACCACTACAAAAAAGAAAAAGAAAAGTGTGTGGCACCTTCCCCTCTGCCTTCTCGTTTGCTTCTGCTTTTGCCATGTGCAGTCCCCGTTCCTCAATCACCTTCCTCCATGATTGTTAGCTTCCTGAGGCCTCTTGAGAAGTCGAGCAGATGACAGCAACTTGCTTCCCAAAAAACCTGTGGAACTGTGAGCTAATTAAACCTCTTCTCCTTATAAAGTACCCATTCTCAGGTGTTCATATAATGGCAATACAAGAACAGGCTAACATACATACTTAGTTACCTAAGTTGTCTAAACAAGTTCTTAGTTACCCAAACAAGTGCTCAACATAAGGGTATCATAGAATAAAATAAGAGGAGTGAATAATTTGTGGAACATTTAGCTTCTAGAAGCCTTTGGATGAACTATTTGAACAAAATCATGTTTCTAAGTACATTATACACAAATGTATATTCAATAATAGACTATATTTCTACATAAATCTTAAGATTCAGGAAAATGGTTTTTTTTAATGTCCTTGGAACTATTGATAAGCCATTCAAAGCTCAGACAGATGATACTTGGATTTAGCTAATTGTTACACTATTATATTCACAAACTACTAGATAGTTACTCAAAAAACAAAGTGGTCAGACTTGGAATAATATGTTTTTTCATGTTTCTGTATTATATAATGATTTGAAACCATCCCTTTCATGAGAAAGGTAGCCAAAAGTTAAAAGTTAAATGATTAAAAAAACAACCCTACTGGATTGTGTTAAGAAAATGTAACATGATTTATAGGTCAAAATGACAATTGAAAGTCTAACTTTCAAGTTTATTTGGTTTCTGTGTGAGTTAAAACACACACACACACAGAGTCAAACATTCTAGAATACAAATTTTCTCCTAAAAACCTAATAGTTGATTATCGTGAAGTCTTGACTGCCTTTCCAAATCCTTTCTTGAGCTTCAGCAGAGCCTGAACTGGTATCCAAGAGTAAACTTGAGTACTGCACTGACCTTTCCAAAGCAGAAGCATTTTGAAAGAGATATCCAACAAATGCAAACTACAATTGTTTAACAGTACACAATCCTAGCAAACAAGAAGAAAACGTCTTGCTTCTAAATGGCATGCTATATGTGACCAGGCCTATATATTTAATTTTCTTTGACTATATAACTTGGATCCCTTCAGGACTTTATGTCTTGTTTTTGTTGATGCATCAATCATTCTTTTGATCAAGTCTTTTGCCTGCCAAAAATTATGTGTTATGTTTGAAAATTATCCTCAACTTGAATTCCCACATATCGGCCTTTTCCTAGTAATTTATTCTTCAAGGCTCATCGATGTAGTTATAAAAACGAAACGACTATTTGCACTGTGTTGTCATCCCCTCCCCCATCCAAGAAAAATGAACAAAAATTACTTACAATGGTTCTTAGCCAGGAGCATTTTATCCCTTATTCGCTAGTGGTAAATGAGTCAGATATGAGTTGGCCAGGAAAAGAACTGCTTTACCCAAAATCTTAGTATGAAATGAGTCATCTCACTCCAAACACCAATATGTTCTCCCAAATAACTGGCAAGAATTTCCTATAAAAAGAATCTTGCCTTCACTCTTTTCCATCTATTTAGCTCTCTGATTTTTCTAATTTTTCAATTTCCTGTGTGCTTATAATATTGCATTCATAAGAAATGCTTCTGCTGCTTTATCTCATTTTGAAAGTCATCTTTCCTGTATTGAGTAGGGGGACAATACTGATAGCATTCCCCGGGAAAGAGTAAATGCTCTGTGGCCTTTCAAAGCTCTCGCTCGCTCTCTCTCTCTCTCTCTCTCTCTCTCTCCTCTCTCTCTCTCTCTCTCTCTCTCTGTGTGTGTGTGTGTGTGTGTGCGTGTGTGTGTGTGTGTGTGTGCGTGTCTGTCTGTCTCTGACAAAATTCATGCCTGGTTTAACTGAAATGCAAGAGCCAGTTCTAGAAGAATTTTTCTTTTCTTCTGCTGTAAAAGGGAATTCAGTTCAAAGCCATCAAAAATATTTCAAGCAAAACCATTTTTCTTCCCACAAGAAAAATCAATCACAATAGATATAATCTGTCTCAAAGTGATATATGAACATGAAACCAAGCTTTGACTCTGCTTTCCTGCCCATTAGAACATTCATATGCTCTCTCTGCCATCAGATGAAGCATAAAATAAAAATCACTGTAGACTGAAGCCGAGGTTAAATCCCTATAGATTACCATGAGTCAAGTACACTATTTACCTGAGGATAAACAAGTTTGCCTACAGGGCCAATTCTGCCAAACTGCTGAGATTTTTATATTACTTGAGGCTCATAACATCACTTATTATTGTTAATTAATCTAAGCTTTGCAATTTAATGGGCAAAAATATTTACAATTCATTTCACTCAGGGTGGAACTTAGCTTCATTTTTCTATATTAAATTAATTATAAAGAATAGCTATGCTCCTTTTATATCCAATCCTAACAGATGTTAGTTTCCTCCATTTTATAGCCCTCAGATGACAGACAACTAACTGTTTTTGGCCTTGGGAATAATTGCAACACCTCTGGATTATGAACTTGGTTCAGTTCTTAGCTGGAAACGGCAGGGGGTTAGTTCATATTATCAAAGATGTAAAGTAAGTTTTCCCTTATGTGCTAGATATTCATATAAAGATACCTTTCAATAGAGCAATATACAACTTTTCTCCCTGACTGGTAATCTGCTGTTTAAGTGATTATAGGGTAAGAGAAAATAACTGCATAAAAATAAAATCTCTTATTCATTTATCTCTTGCTCTTGGCCAAAACAAGATGTTAAATCCATTAAGCTCTGAGTATCCAGTAAAAGCAAGAAAGTAGAACTGTTTGAATTTCTGCATTCTTGGGAAAATTGCCAACCTATGCACTAGTAGCAGGATCTGTGTAATTAATGGTGATGTTATTGACGGAGGGAGGGAGTCTGATTTTCTTCTCAGAAGCAATTTAAGAGTGCAAGCTGGCAGAGCTTTAGCAAAGCCTCACCTGATTTGTTTTTAAATTGAGGGAATGTGACCTTGAAGTCAGCCACAGAAATCACCAATATTAGTGTATATTTGTGGTGGCTTTGGTAGACTTTAAAGAAATTCTAAATGTAGCATTTTCTGTAGAACTGAATGATGAACACCAAATGCACAAACTGACAAACATTCCTTAAAAAGAGAACAAGCGAACCAAATCGTAGCTTAACTGCATTTCTTTTCTCCAGGAATCTATATTCCAAAGAAGATACATTAAAACCAATTCTGTCTTATCAGAATATAAAATAAAATCAGCCCCAAGTTCACACAATCCTTTTACACAGTCTCTTGTCTTCTTTGCAGGCAACCTTCACCTTTATCCAGTTGCTGGACCTCAAGGACAATCACATAAGGAGTGCGTATATGTATTTTGGCTATCCAACAGTCTAGCATTATTTCCATCTTCTGCTCTCCTCTTTCTCTTTGTTATATCAGCAATTTCAAAATGATTAGAGAAAGAAAAAGAACATCTGGAAAAATAGAGATAACTAGGAAAAGAAGTTAAGCCCACAAGCAACTCTTTCCATAATGATCTGCACTCAATTATCTGATAAGGTGTGATTTTTCTCACCATCTATCTCATCCCTTCTATTTGCCTGTGATCTGTAACCACATACTCCAGCTCTGCATTTCACATGAAGAATGAAGCAATGAATTCTTAATAGCCTAAAGCATGTGCTGTGGCATCTGTGGCTTTGGAGAGGACAGGTGGTGGGAGTGGAGGAGACCGGGAAGGAAAGCCAGGAGGAAGATTCACAAACATCAACGATGAGCCTGGATATGACTGACCTGGATTATGCCCCCACGCTGGATTCATACCTGCTGTCTTCCTGAGCAAAGGGCTGTTCCACATCCACTGTTAGGGAGGCCAGGGCAGAAACGGTCTCTGTTTCCTCTTGCAACTGAGCACCAGCCAGAGCACAGCCCCTTGGCATAGCCACCATCCTTAATGACTTCCAATACTTGCCTAGGAAAAACATCCATCATACTTTATAATAATTGCAGTTACCGCAGTAATAATCAGAATACTCACATAGGTCCAACTCAGAGCAGTTGTTATATTAAAATTCCCCATGTTATACACAGTTGTAATTTGGTTTTTTAACTGTTATGATTAAGTCTTTTTCTCAATCTAATAATGCCAAGTTGTGAAGTGCCCATATTCCCAAGCTGAATCTCCCCTTTGCTCACACAGCAATAAAGTGAGGAATAATATATGGCCTACTGAACTCACCCTCAGACTGACAGCTGTCTCTGCAATAAGCAAACTCTGGGCATCATGCTCCATGGGAAACCCACGAGAGACCAGGAGGCAGCACTTTTACAGAGAAAAATAAATGGAATCATACTGCTAAACACTGCTACTTGAATCATTAACTTTTAGAAAATGAAGTTGGAATATTAAAGAAAAAGAAAAGCCAAGAAATGCCAGCATGAATTGAATGGTGACTTTGCCAGAACAATCAGGTTTGTTAGTCCTGGATGTTCTTTCTTTCTCAACCTCAGGGTGTGTACTAGAACAATAATTGATTTAAAACTTTAATATATGTACTGGCTGATGTTGGAGCCTATCCATATGTCATACTGATGTTTCGTTTTTCAAGGCAGGAAAGGAGAAAGAGAGGAAAATAGAAGGTCATTTCATGAGAACATGCCAATGGGATAAATATGAAAGAACAGAGTTAATGGCTTTCTTGCAGCCCTTAGGCTATTTTCTTGTGAAATGTTGAGTAGCCCCAAATCAAAGCAAGACAATCTCCCTAGGTGTTGACATGACTCATCAGGTCAGAACTATCTCTGCAGCCTGACTAGTTGGCAAGAACTATGGTACGCAGTGTTTGCTTACTTCTTAGAAAAAAAAAAGTCTTGTTTGAGTGGAAAAGGCAGATGGATGAATGCTGGATTGGGCAGTAAGATAACAGGGTTCTGGACCCTGTGCTGCCATCTCAGTCACGTTAGTGAGTCTTGGCAGGACTTTATTTTTGCCTCTTGAAATAGGGAGATGTCTCAAATCTTTTGCAGCGTTAACATTTTATAATTAGCCTTTCCTTATCTTACTGTTTCATCAAGGAACAAATGTTATATTAGGGGAGGATACTCAGTCTCCCCATATTCCTTATGCCAACAAAACCTTCTGACACAGGTGTCCATTACTACTTAACTTGCTGTGATCACTTATTCTGACCAAAGTCTGAGAGTCATAAAGCTTTTAATTTGAACCAAACAATAGCAATTCTGTCAATGATTCCAAAAACTAACATTTCTTTGAAAGCTAAGACTTTTCCACACATTGAGGACACAAAGATGCTTCCTAACACCAAGAAATGCATGGTCCAGGTAAGACAGCCCTGTTAGTTAAGCATTACAATTCTCTGTGTAAAATGCCCATGGTGATCTTAAATGGGCATAAGTAGAACATGTATTTAAGGTGATGGGAGAGTATGGGAAGACTTGCCAGGAAAAATAACATTTGACTGAGTTCATTAGAAATTAGAGTGCAAATCCTGAAGTCTAATTAGAAATTAGAGTGCAAATCCTGAAGTCTTGATTACCTTTCCAAATCTTTTCTTGATCTTCAACAGAGCAAGGGGGAGGTGATGGGATATTCCTGGAAAGGGAAATAGCACATACAAATAGAGAGAGACTGGAGTCTCTGTGTTTTACCACGTGACCATCAACTGCAGGGAATGACTGGAACATACAAAGAGTATGAAGTGGAATGGATGAGACTGCTATGGTAGGGAAGGGCTAGTTAATACACACTCCTGAATGACAGACTGATGATCTTGGACTTCAACCTGTGGATGATGAGGGGGCATTTTAAGCAGATGAGGTATAGTATCAGGCTTTTGTTTTTAAAAGATCCCTTTGGAGACATTATAGGTGATGGACTGGAAGGTGATAACAGTGGGTGCAGGAAGACCAATTCCAAGTGGGAAATGATGATGTCTAAATCAAAAGGAAGTAACAGAATAGAAATGAGAAGACACTAAGAGAGAATTGGGAGGTAGGCAATGAAAATATATCTTTAGCCTACCCTACATCTCTCAACTTTGATAGTTATCTCTGAATTGACAATTCCATTCCCAAGGCCTAGTTTCCCTAGATCACAATGTCAAATATCATCCAGCTTTAATATTTCATGACTGGTCTTTCATTATCTTACTGTTTCATGAAGGAACAGATGTCACATTAGGGCAGGAAATTCAGTCTCATCACCTATTTTCCATGCCAATAAGACCTTCTGACATGGGTACCCACTACTATTTAACTTGCTGTCAAGTTAATGTTATTGTAGTATCACCCAACTGGAAATTCCATATACCATCTACAAGTACATACATTGTAATGAGTTACACAAAATATTATTATTAAACATTATTTTAGCAGATAACATTTACAAAGCTAGTGATACTGTATGACATTCTTTTCTTGTTTTCTATGGCAGTTAATATGGAAACTCAGACAAACACACTACATATGGCTAGTGGCTTACCGGTCAAATTAAAAGACTATAGGAAAGACAGACTTCCATTACTGAGCACCCAATATGTGCCAAGACTGTTCTAGCTGTTTCTACATTTATAGTTTGTAATTTTATTTAACCCTGGTGACAACTATTTCGGCAATGTTAGGTCGTTTTTTTGAAGCTTACATAGCTAGCTAGTAGGCAGAGGAGCTAAAATCCTTACCCAGCACTAATTCCAAATTGCCTCTTCCTCTGCACTCTGCTGTCCTCCACCCACCTCCCAGTAGACATAAAAATAATCTCAATTATAAAATTCTTAGCTTAAAAGAACTATGCATGTTGTAAAATATCTGCAACAAATACAACAGTCGTGATATTCTTATGTACATATTTTTTGCTTTGAAAATCATTGTAGGCCAGGTGCGGTGGGTCATGCGTGTAATCCCAATCATGTTGAAACTAGTTCATTCTACTCTTCCTTTCTTATAACCTTGCACTATTGCAAGTACCTTTTACCAGGTAAATTACTGAGGCTATCATAAAACTGGAGACAGGACTCATTGAAGAATATGAATAAGAACCCCATCGAAGGTCAGGTGTAGTGGTTCATGCCTGTAATCCAGCACTTTGGGAGGTCGAGGCAGGTGTATCACTTGAGGTCAGGAGTTCGAAACCAGCCTAGCCAACATTGTGAAACCCTGTCTTTACTAAAAATACAAAAATTAGCCAGGCATGGTGGTACATGCCTGTAATCCAAGCTACTCAGAAGGCTGAGGCAGGAAAATTATTTGAACCCAGGAGGCAGAGGTTACAGTGAGCCAAGACTGTGGCATTGCACTCTAGCCTGGGTGCCAGAGCAAGACTCCATCTCATCGAAAATGGAGCTAACTAAAAGTCAGTATTTCCAGACTGGAGATCCCACACTAATCTTGGAGAAGTCACTGGAACACAATGGAGCACAATTTCCACATTTATAAAGTAACAGTAGTAGGCTAAATGATATGAAAGTTTTATTCCTGCTCTCATTCTCACTTATTGTGATTCTTCTGATCTCATATTACATATCAATCTTGGATGTAACAATAAATTTCCTATGGCAGAAAACCTTATTTTTCTATGAGCCTATGAACTCTTGAAGAGGTCAGCAAACTCTCTGCACCATAATATACACATCTAGAAGAAGCAAGGGCTTTAATTTTCAAGCATTGTGTCTTGTTTCTCAAGAAGAGAAGTCTAGGCCACAAACACACACCTTTACTTTCATAACACAATCAGGACAGAAGGCACGCACTGTTAATAGCAATCTTCAAGCAGAATAACTGACAACAATCCTTTAAATTTTGACCCATATGTATGTCAGTACTAAGAAGGATTTTAAATAGTTGAGACCTTTTTGGATAAAATTTAACGTGTATAAAATAACCTGCTAAGTTAAGATTAAATATTAGAAGTTTGGCTTTTATCCATATGTATGAGTTTCTTGACTCAGCAAAAACCAAAAACTTTAAATTCTGTTTGACCTCTGGCAAAATCTATAAAAAGAAGGGAAATATTCTACATTAATAATGCATTTATAGACTACTATCTCTATTCATAAATGTATAGCACCATCTGTGCAGTATGCAGCCAATTCAAACTCCACAATTTATGGGTTATATTTTCATGTGATGAGTAGGGTCTTTTCTTCTGGTCCAGAAACAGGTGTGCCAGAAAGTCTTATCTGCTGGCATGGGCATAATATCCCCATTATCACATATGAGAAATGAACCAAGGTTTACTGCTAGAATTTTCAGAAGCGGTAATTCATAAAGTCAAATATTAATGACCAGCCACAACTGGGTTGCTCTCCTATGGCTATGCAACTGGCAAAAGAGAATAATTTTCCATTAAAATTGGACATGCACACTCTCTCTTCAGTCGTATCCTCTATCCTTATTCATTTTTCCCACTATGTAAATCTTCCCACTTTTCAGCACTTTTTAAAGACTATTCAGCCTTCAGCATTCTGCATTTTTGTTTTATCTGGAAAAAGTAACACAAATAATGAATCTGTAATAAAGATAAAAAGTAGAGAATGGAATGCAGACAATCAAGGGTCAGAGGTGAGGGCCATAGATGGGGTTTCACTGGGTCACACAGGACCCAGGAGAGGGCATCCTGCAGGTACTCTGTAAACGGACTTCAGTATAAACCAGATTGTTCTAGGAAATGGACAATTTAGAAAAATAGGCAGTTGTTGACTCATGAAAGTTTATGTTAGAAGCCACCTATCTACCAAAAGTTTTCTCAATTCTAAGCCCCTTGCTACTTTGAAAGCTTTCTGACCTCAGAAACCTCTCCATTTCATCATCATTTTGGGAGCCTTAGAGTTGTCACTCTCAAATTTGCTTCTTAACCTTCCTTCCATTTGAATGATGTTTCCTTTCATCTTTACACACCAGGTTCTCATAGGAAAAGAAGCTGCTGCTAACTTGAAACTCCTGCTATCTCCTTCGACC